AAAAAAAAAAAAAAAAAAAAAGTGTGTGTGTGTGTGTACACATGTTGTTTAAAAGTTTGGGGTCAGTAAGATTTTTTTAAATGTCTTTGAAAAAAAATTCAGTTGTGCTCACCAAGGCTTAAAAATACAGGAAAACAGTAATATAGTTAAATTTGTTTTTAATCTATTTTAAAATACTATTTATTCCTTTGATGGCAAAGCTGAATTTTGAGCAGCCATTTCTCCAGCCTTCAGTGTCACATGATCACACTTCAGGTGAAGTGTTCAGAGTTTGTCCTCTCTGGTAGATATGTAGCTTCTCATCCATTCCCTTAGAGGGCCATTTTATCTGTATTGCAGTTAAAATGAGCCGAGTGAGTCACCACATAGACAAACCAAACAGAGACCCATAAACTGGCACCCGACACAGAATAGAGATGCTGGTGTCTACCACAATAGAGACTGCGACACAAAAGCTCACTAAAACTTACTGATAGTAAATCCTTTAATTAATCGGTGTGTGGGCATATGATGGCTTGTGGCTAGAAGGATACAGAGTTTCATTGTTCCATTCTGCTTTAATCTGCAGAAACGGGCATCCCTGTTCATGCAGTGGATCAGCAGCATTCTGCATCTTAATGAGAGCTGAGGCTGTTTGCCTTTGATGTCACTGCTGTATTTTATGAATGACAGTGAGTCTTATAACAGGGCCTTCGAGCGAGTTTATGCACAGTTGCAAACTTTACCACTGAGTTACAGTTTTTTAAAAATATATTTAAAGGCTAGTTTATGTATGCATTATCAAACATATGGGTATTTTAGATTACTTGAAGATAGATAACAGTATCAATAGTAGTATTAATTAACTTTGAATTAACTATATATTTATTTTAAAAATGTATTCATTTAAGAACTAATTTATTTAAAAATGTATTTATTAAAAAATCTATAGAAATATATATACTGTATTAAAAAACTTTAATCGTTAATATTGTAAAATTGTTAAAAAAAATTTTTTTTTTAATGTTAAACTTTTGAGTAGAAGAAGCCAAAAATTGGCCTCAAAGTGAAAGTAAACAGCGCAAACACTCATTAAAAAATATTTTAATACACCGCATCCTGAGAGCGGCTCCCTGATGCGCCAAAATTATACACAATATTAGAATGTTTAAAGGAGTGGACACGAAAATCGTGGGAACGAAACACATGTTGCGGGAGCAGGCGGCAATGGTCAGAGATTCAGCGCGAGCGAGATAAGGAAACAGCCAAATCCCGGACATTTTGGGCAATTAAGAAATCCCGGCCGGACGCATTTTTGTAGGTCCAAAAAGAGTACATGTCCGGAGAAAAGAGGACGTATGGTCACCCTAATTTATAATCTATTGCTAATCGATGTATTCTTTTTAAAGTAGCATATGGAACATATTTTCTGCCTCATTCTGTGACAAGAAGCCTCATCAGATCACAAAAGGAAGCATTTGACTGGTGTTGTGGAGTAAAAAGGTTATAATGAACAACATGGACACTCTCGTTACTCCAAAGATTTGTTGGATTTGTATTTTTAGAGCTTTCCGACTTGAGTTCATGTGCATTTTCTCAGTCGGGAAATTATTTTTCACGTGCGATGATGCTTCTTACGTCCGTTTCGGAGAACCAGAGGACAATATTTCAATCGATCGCTCAGGCATGGCACTGAAATCTGTGTTCGGATTCGGTTCTAGTACATACCGGTTACATAGGTACCGGTGCCATATTGGTACCGGGTTTCGGTACCCAACTACTGTTCAGTAAATAGTTGCTTTTATTAATAGTATTAATAATATTGCTTTTATTAATCAAGTTTCAAGTTAAGTGGAACTAACAATTCTCCCAGCAGGTAAAATATTAATAAAACTGTAAGTGTAGGCTGTTGGTTGCATAGCAACTTGATACATTAATACAAACCATGTGGCCACAGGTGTACATTTTACAGCTTCAAATGCAGCTCATGAAATCAAAATTTAGAGTGAGAAATATCCTTTTTATAACTATAATTAAAGTAAGCACACATGACACTCAAAACTAAATTGTGTAGTTTAAAGGGCACCATCTCTTTCACATTCTTTCACTGAACTTCTTTCAGCACAGCTTTTTAAGCTCCGCCGTCTTATGCTGGATAGAAGTGTGCATCTCATCTATCTTTCATAATCGCAGAGTTACTTAGATGCTCCCTCCCAGTCTTTGAGCTGCCTCGCTCTTTCTCTGACTCTACTGCACTTTTGCAGGCTTGTTTACTGGAAAAATGTGCAGTTGCTTTCTAAGCGTTATTTCAAAAGTCTACTTTCTGTTTAAAAAAAAACTCTAATTTCCCATCTCTATCTCCACAGCTTTCCCCCACGGACAAAAACCTGGAGTTTGACCGAGACTTCCGCATCCGCCATTATGCTGGAGATGTGGCGTAAGTGCACTCTCTGCTGTTTTGCACCATAAGCCCTAAATGCTGTAATTAAAAAATCACTGTTAGTAACCCACAGAAGGCTTAGCTAAGTGGAAAGAGATCTAGTTCTTCCCTTGGGCACAGATTGGGTTTGAGAAGGTTTGGTAAATAAACATTTGAATGACGCAAGCATATTACTCACTCCGAATGATGTAAATGCCGGTTACCAAAACAAGTTGATTTCGAATGTGAATGCAGTTTCATTTTCTCACTTCAGCGGTTTGCCAGATTGCAGGCTGTCAGTTAGTTCCTAAAGTTCTGTGGGTGTAGGTGTGATGTGACACCACATTGAAATGCCTGGTTGATGTTCAGACCCCTTTGTGTGTGTGTGAGAAAGAGAGAAATGGGTAGGGGAAGGAAATCTAAAATGATATATTCTCAGTTAAGGAGCCAGAGTTCTGTCTGTGTCAGTTATAATGCTGCTCGTATTTTATAATAACACTCATATTTAGATCAGTGTTAAAGGTGAAGTGAATAATTTTGTTCAATGATAAAATACTTTATCTTATTCAAGTAAGCCATTTGAAGTTTGAAGAGCAATGTCTGCCCACTTTTTCATTGGCCTTGGTTCCAGAAGTATTTTTTCCATTCATTTTTGCAATAGGGTAAAACAAGGTTAAACATGATTATTTAAAAAAAAATTTGTTGAAATAATGTGGGCTGATGGATGCAATAAAAGCATTCCATTGATTAACAACCTCCTACCTCACAGTAGGTATGCATTTAAAAATGTTATCACTTAAAATCAATTCCCCTGTTGAAAAAAAGAATGGCATTTTTACTTCTGGAACTCCAATGTTGGACTTGCAGATGGAGGGAGTGTTCAACAAAACCTGTTTAAAAACAATCATTATTTTTCAAATACTTTTTGTGTTGATATAGGCAAAGAAATTGCACAATTCACCTTTAAGTCTGAAATTTGCCATGTGCAGACTATCTGTGTATATTTGTGTAATTCAGTCGTGTGGTTGTGTGTTTTGTTTCAGTTATTCTGTTGTAGGCTTTATTGACAAGAACAAGGACACCTTGTTTCAGGACTTCAAGAGGTTACTTTACAACAGGTCAGTATTACAATAAAGTATATCCCTTTGTTCTTATTTGCATACCGGCCAGATGACAGACAACATCCGTGACTTATATCTGTCCTTCTCCTTCCTTGATTCACAGCTCAAACCCTGTGCTGAAAGCCATGTGGCCAGAGGGCAAGCTGAGCATCACAGAGGTCACCAAACGACCCCTGACTGCTGCCACGCTCTTCAAAAACTCCATGATCTCTCTGGTGGAGAACTTGGCCAGCAAGGTGGGTGTGTTTGAAGCATTTTTGTGTAGACCATGACTGATTTATGTAATATATAAGTGATAAGTCAGACAGTCATTGCAATATAAAGAGTTTTTGCGATAATGACCAACAAATGCATATTATTGTGCTTTTTACAAGGCAACTTACCAAATAAATACACATGTAGACATTAAGTATTGATTTCAGTTGATTTTTTTTTTTATGTGAGATGAAATAGCAAATCTCTGTAGGAAGTTGAGTAAGTATGGTTTATCCGTCATTATAAAAAATATTTTCATGCAGAAGGCTGTGAATAACCAGTCGAGTCAAGTATTCCAGAACACTATTTAATAGAGTGCAACAGTCAAGTTCCAGAAGAAAAATCCCATTTATTTTCTCCATAGGAGAATTGATTTTTAACAATAGCTTATAAGCCTTTAAAGACAGAGCTACTGTGTTTGGCAATCAATGGCAATGGCTTTTGTTGAAGCCATCAGCATTATTTCAACTAATTATTTAAATAATTGTGTTCATCAGTGGGGTTCCTAGTGAGAAGGTTACTGAAAAAGTTTGGGGCCACTGTCGCACTTTATAGATGCGCACTCACCATCGCCCTCTGTTGGTTCATATAGGAGCCGTACTACGTGCGTTGTATAAAGCCGAATGAAGTTAAGTCACCGCTACTGTTTGAGCATGAGCGCTGCAAGCACCAAGTGGAGTACCTGGGCCTCCTGGAGAACGTCCGGGTGCGACGAGCTGGTTTTGCTAACCGACAAATCTACCCACGGTTCCTTCAGAGGTGAACATCTTACGTTTTTCGATTTGTATGGCCAACTTGTGTCAATTTCAAAGCATTTTTTAACCATTTTATTTGATGTTCTGCATGATTTAACATTCGTGTATGGTTTCAGCTCATGAATTGCAACTCAATGCTCTTGTGACAGCTTGTGTGAGACTGTTGCGCCTTTGGTTGCTAGTGACATCTGAAACTACAGATTGATCAATCAGATTGTGAAGATCTTATGCAACGTCTGTTGGTGTGAAAACTGTCATCCTCTGGGGTCCCTTTTTCACCCAGTTACAATTGCTAAAGGGTTTTATGTAATAATGACGTGCAAGCTGAGTCTTTTTCAAAAGCCTTGAGAGTTAGTAGAGCATACATTGTACTGTCACTCAATATACAATGATTCTATATACAGTGGGTACGGAAAGTATTCAGACCCCCTTAAATTTTTCACTCTTTGTTATATTGCAGCCATTTGCTAAAATCATTTCCTTGAGCAAAAACCTATAAGATAGTCTCCTGAAGTCTCAGTTTTCTTTAAGATGAAGTGTCCTAAATGTCTCTGAGGCCTCTGTATACTGCTCAAAACAAATAGAAACACACTTGCCACAAATCTTAAGTTGATGAGATTCACAAAATGTCTGTTGCTGAGCAAAAGTTAGACTGGATTTCATCTAATTGAGAATGCAGTGTTAACAGCTCTCGCATGAGTGATTTGTGCATCTGTCACGGTTGCAGATGTGCATGGAATATAATGTACTACCTAGAGGTGAGACTGGACAAATGAGGATTGAATCCAAAGGGTCTGGCCTCACATCGCTTTTAAATAAGCACTCATTGGGTTATATAATGCTTGTTATGAAACGGATCGTTCAGACTCTGTATTCTGATTGGATAAGATGTGCTTAAAGCCTGTATTAATGTGTAAAATTACATTGACGAATAGGGATGTAACGATTAACCGCGAGCCGGCTGAAAATCGATTCAAATATGTGACGATTCAAATCGGTTGAGATGCTAAACAAATCGCGATTCAGTTAGGTGTAGGAGTTTATATGAATGTATGTCTGAGGGGAACTTACTGTCTTTAGAAAAGTTTAGATGGTATTTTTTCTTTTAATCTTGCCTCTGTATAATGCATATTAAAGTTCATATATTCAGCACAGCTTTGTTGTCCAGCGGAAACCAAGGAAACGATATAAGCGCCACCTGCTGGCAGAGTGTAAATCTGCGTCTCGTTCAGCTCGTCCGCTGTTTCATGCAGATATTTTTTATGTATAATTTCACAAAACTGAAGTCAGACCATTCTGTTTTTGCTTCAGATTTCGAAATTATACAATCTAATTTAGATTAAAAACTGCTCATGTTGCATGTATGCAGCATCTTTGTTTGGGTCATGATTAACATACTGGTAAAAAAAAATGTATAGCCTGAATGCACTGTAAGTCGCTTTGGATAAAAGCGTCTGCTAAATGACAAAATTGAAATATAATGTAAATGTAAATAACAAAACTAAATAGAAATTTTAAAACAAGCCCCAAATCAAATAAATAAATAACACAAATAAAA